TAGTCTTCGTGTAGATATGTACGGTGTTTGTACGATGCAATTGGTCGATGTTCTGTTAGATTATATTGGCCGGTGAGAGTTACAAGTTGCTCAACCTCATCTATGTCAGATGCATATGAGTTTCTGTTCGAGTCGTCCCGCAGCGAGCTCCCCCTGAATTTTTTGTGAGACTGACCTTTGAAAGGATTTGGTGCTCGACACAGACTCCGACCGACGAGTTCCAGAAGCGCGCCAGAATGGCAGGGAATCAGGAGAACGCCCGTCGGCATCTCCCGTCTCTACCGTAAGCATAGTACACCTCGCCGAGCACGGCTCGCATACTTAACCCACACAGCTTTGTAGTCATGGTCGAATATTATGCATTCGGCTACAAAGTCATATATCAGTGGATTCCCGCCAGTGCAAAGGAACTGAGCATGGAACCCAGGATGTCATGTCTGATTATCTGGTCACTGTTGGCGGGCAAGCCAACATGCTGAGGCACGTCCGGCTAATTCCTGTCAAAGGTAGAGGGGTCATTGCTTGGTGTCTCGCCTCCACCGACCCTAGCGACGGGCTACCCTCGAAAGTGACAGATGTCGAGATGATCGAGAAGCTGAGCCCAAATTGTTGGCCGGGAAGGGCCTCAAAGCGGTGGCGGCAGTAATAACATGGCAAACTGTTCAGTTCTGGTGAGCACAACGTATTCAGCATTGAATGGACAGTGGGCTGACATTTTTGTACAGCTATCTTCGCAGCGCTACCTCGGTGGTCTTTGCATGACATGTACCAAACCTCCACTTTGCCCGTGCTCACTCCTATGTTCTCTGCGAACGCCTGCGCCTGTATCTCGTCCGTATTGGTTTTGTCGATGAACCAAGCTGACCCCCCCCCCTCCGAAGTGAGACAAAAGCTTGTCGACTTCGGGATGCTTTTATTCGTACACCTCCGACCCTCGTACTTGCTCGCGCATAACGACTCGAAGCTATACCACACCTCGCTCCAGATCTCGGTCTCGTACACGCGCTGCTTTGCGGACCCGCCGGCTCAAGGTGCACCAGCAGCTCTCCGCCGCCTTCGCGTCACTTCAGGCCAGGCGAAGCTCTAGAGCACGCTCAGTAGCATCGTCGACTGCGCCTACGCACTTTTCTATCGCGGCGAGGCGGACGGTAGGAACACCAGCAGCCACCCGTCGCGTGTCTTCGTCACTGTCTGCAAACCGCAGGGGATGGCTGAGGACATCTGCAACGTTGTAGCGCTGTCGAGCTGTTCGACGAGTGAGTCTCTCCTTCGGCTTTATCCCTCAAAACTCCCTTGCTCATGCGCGGCTCCTCCCTAGCGCCTTTGATAACTAATCGCAAGATTGCCGCAACGGCGCGCAACGTCCGGCGAATTGGACTCATCTATACCTGCATGCGTCATCTCGACGGAGACCCGACCGGCCCTCCTCTCCTTTACTTCACGTATTTATCGACCGCTATTCTACCCTTGATATCCATGTACCCCTACCGGCTGATTAGTAGACTAGAAATAAGTATAGCGAATACCCAAGTGCGTGTCTATTCTTTTCAATGGTCACATTCGAGCGGCGGACCCTCTCGCGTGATACATATCCATAACCAATCCGAGAACACGCATTCGACCTTATAGAACACACAATAACCCTGTCGTCTCGTCCCACGTGCGAATCCTGCAACCGTACAACTCTTACGGCACGGCCTAGGTACTTCATGGTGAACAGTTAGCATCTCGCCCGTGCGCACAGTCAAGGTTTCAGGACTCACGGCTGGGCTGCCCCCTCTCTTACTCCCGGCATAAAGCTTCCTGCATCTTCTGAACGTTCCTCCTCAGCGAGGCCAGCTTTCGGTCGGACGAAGAGGTGCCCATCTCGTATGTCTTGGACCACTTTTAGGTCCTCCGGAGCATCGACGTATGAGGCGTTAGGGCCTCCTGCTCCTTGAGGAACGTTATCGCGGGTCAGAAGTGCGACTCTCCAGTAGTGCCCGCTAGAGGCAATGAGGTAAACTTCCTTGACGCTTCGGTCGGCGTCGAAGAGCAGGGCACCTTGATCTTCCGCCTGAAATGCTCCGGTGGCCAAGAGGTTGAGGAGCTTCTGGTCGAGCTCATGTGCTGGCAGGCGTCTCTTGGGGTGCCGCTTGCATTCTACTATGGCGACCACTCGACTCTTCTTGATTTTATGACCCAAGAAGTAGGCCTTGAGTCGACCGTCGTCGGTGTTGTCCGGCCTGCAGTCGCCGGCGATAACGCAGAAGTCGGGAACCTTCTCATCTTCCACGGGGACGGCGATGGTCTCCATGCTGGCATCCGGGTCTTGTACGGCAGCTTCATCGTCATCCTCCCCACCAGCCATCACTACATCTCCGCCCGCGTCCAGTTCCACCATCAAGTTCACAGGGAGCTGGGGAGCGATGACCGTGCAGGGTACACCTGACAGAAGAATGGTAATCCTACTCAACATCTCCGCGTACCACGGAGCTTCGATGTTTCGCCTATTAGCGAGGTATGACAGTCCAGTGTGGCGTGAGACTGCCAGCTTGGCTGCAAGCTGTTGCTTGGTTTGAGCAATGTAGTCTGCCATCGCCTTGAGACTTGAGGGTTGAGAGGGTAGGGGGAGGTGGGCGAGTTCGATGGGGCACTCGCCCTTGATATAGAGACATCTCGTAGCCAGAGGAACAAGAACAACAGACATAGTAAATCTTGAGGCCAGATGGGCTTGAACAAGACGCTTACCTGTTCGAGACTCGTTGTCGCATCGGTAGCTGTTGATTCTGAGCAGCGTGGTTGAAGACAAGAATTGTGTCGCACAACAAACCTATTATGGGACCAGTCCTTGTCTTAAAATAAAAAGCAGAGTCTTGTGAGGATGTAGTATGAAACATTCGCTAGCAATACTTACCGGCAGACGAACGCGGAGCAAGCTATAAAGAACAAGGGCCGAGTGATTGTTCGTATAACGAAACAAGAGACAGGTCCCGTGGATTGTGAAACAGGCATGCCATTGTCAATCCCAGACGAACACGGAGCGTAAGTCCCTTTTGGTATGTCGAAGACGATTTCCTTATTTG